CGCTATTTATCGTAATCATTAGAAATCAGTAGCATGATTATAATCGAATGTTATCAAATATCGCTATTAATCGAATCGGATATATAGCGATATTTAGTATTACCGCTAGTAAACAAATTCGCTATATATCGATTACTATCACGATCGTGTGTAATCGGCAGGGGTGATTGGTATCGATATATAATTACCCAGCTAGTAATCGATATATATCGGTCTATTTTTTTTGCTGATGGTTACAGATTAACAAAACCTGGTAACCCCGAATTTGACGAAGCTTTTCAAAAATAACTCGCCAAATTCTTGAAGGAGAGAATACCAAAATGCACCTTCAGCAATTGATTTATACTTTTACTGATCTCTGTTGGAATAAATATATCACCAAAATTAGTAACAAGATTGATCATAGAGAAGAGACCTGCATAATTAATTGTGTTGAAAGGTTTTTGGATACTAGCCTATTCATAGTCAAAAGATTGGAGGAAATATGAAATCGGTGAACCGATATTTGGGAGCATATAATGCAAAAATATTAGAATTATTGAACGATTTACTTGTGTAGCACAATAAATCGTTCGGTAAACCATGGTATTTCCCTGTATAAAAGTATAATGTTGATATAATTTCATCATATTATTTTTTTATTTTTTATATACTATATTATTGTAAAGGACGAACTTAAAGATGCTGGTGAAATAATTTCGCCACTTCTTACTATAGTTGAATAATAATTAAAGAACATCAACAAATATCACAAGAAAGTAGAATAGTTTCACAACTTTCATTGGCCATAAAAAATTATATCACAACATACAAATCTTTATAAACCTTGACCAGTTATTCCTTTATTAAAGAGAAATCTTTTTTCACTACAGTACTATATAAAGATAGTATATAATTTAAATCTAATTGATGACAATTATAAAATTACACTTTATATTGTATCAAATATTTTAATGAAATTAAAACTTGCTCTCTATAATATAGTATGTAATAATACAGTACAACAAAAAATCTATGTATAAAAAAATCTATATATACCAACTTACTGATATTAATATTTTCTAGCCTCTTGTCTTATATTTATGCACCAACCATCTTTAATCACCTCTAATTTATCTAGTTGCTCATTTGTTAATTTCTTTATACCATTTACAGTAATTCCATACTTATCAAAGGATTTTTCAAAAGCAGTATATACATCTTTACAATTGTGAATTCAATCTAATTCTAAAAAAAATTGGATTAGAGAAATATTGTATCCAGAGATAGTTTGAGGTTGAGGTATTTGATAGTAAAACAGATAATAGAGATATACATAAGGATTAAAACCAGGTTGTATAGTTAGTGGTATAAATGGTGGCATAGCTAATGGTATATTTAGTAGTGTAGAAGGATAAGATGTAATTTGAGATACAATTTGGCCATAAGAAGTATTTTGACTATGAAATATAATTTGATATTGACTATAAGATGTAATTTGATTATAAGGTGTACTTTGACCATGAGGTGTACTTTGATTATAAGGTATTTAATTATAGATTTTAGACTTTGTGGCATTAGCTATACTAAACGTTGGATAGGTTAAAGGTGTATCAATTGTAGCCATGTTTTTAATCTATAAATATTATAGTATATTAATATACAATAAATTATAAATAATACAGTATATGGAAAACTCTTTCCAACGATCACTTGAACTATATTTTCTAAAAAAGATTTTACTGCAAAAAGAGACCTTACAAGCCAGCACTTGACCTAAAAACCTAGACAGTAAGACAGCACCTGTTGTTTAGAAGTAGTTCTTATACACTACTTGCCGACAGGCTTAGAGTTTATTACTCACTGCATAGTCTCGGCACTTGTCATTTAAAGGCAGTTCTCATATGCTACCTGCCGACAAGCCTAGAGTTTATCACTCACTGATAATATCAGAAAATTTTTTATATAGATATATATCAATATATAGCAATAAATCGATGTATATCGATTAGAAAATAATGGCATGTATCGATAATTTAGGCTAAATAACAATATATAACTAAAAAACGATATATATCGGTAAATGATAAATATTATTAAATAACTAATTATCGATATATATCGATTATGTTAATATCAATATAAATCATTTATTAGTTCATATCACAATGTAGCAGACCTATTATTATCGATATATAGTGATATTTGTTAATTAT